AGGAAAGGAATATGATTCACCCACTATGCAAGAAATTTGAATCTACGCTGCCTCCATATTCTCAGAGATGAGCAAAATAATTGGAGCAGATTCAGAAGAGAAAAATACAACAATATGACTAAAAAGTGGAAGAAGGCCGGGCGCCGTGGCTCACGAGGTCAAGAGATCGAGATCATCTTGGTCAACATGGTGAAACCCCGTCTCTACTAAAAATACAAAAAATTAGCTGGGCATTGTTGCACGTGCCTGTAATCCCAGCTACTCAGGAGGCTGAGGCGGGAGAATTGCCTGAACCCAGGAGGCGGAGGTTGCAGTGAGCCGAGATTGCGTCATTGCACTCCAGCCTGGGTAACAAGAGCGAAACTCTGTCTCAAAAAAAAAAAAAAAAGTGGGAGAAACAATTTGTATTCAGAAACAAAAGTTAAAGGTATTCAGCCTAAAGTGGCCTTTGGGAAGTGATACCATAGGAATCTTCAAATATATAAAGGAGGCAACACTCAAAGAAGGCCTCAAGTTCTTTTATTGGACTAAACCAAAATATGACTCAGATTTTAACAGGGCAATGAGGCATGCTGAAGAACTTTCAGAGTATAGATATCGGGGTGGTGTGATGAAAGGTAGAGGTAAACACCATGTTTTTCTTCCATCCCTATGTGTACACAAGTATACGCTAACAATGGGGCCTGTGCTCTAGCATTTTTGCAAAATTACTTGTGAAACGAGCAAGCTTTTAAGTTTTAAGATTTTGTTCCCCCTAGGATGCTAATACCCATTTTAAAGGAGAAGGGGATTTAGTCCAGGAAGGAAGACTCAAGTATGAGATTTGGCTAGCAAGCAAAATGGGACCAATCCACAGGGAGAGAGAGAGACCGAGGGAGAGAGAGAGAGCGAGAGAGACAGAGACTGAGGGAGAGAGAGAGAGAGACTGAGAGAGAGGGAGAGAGAGGGAGAGAGAGGGAGAGAGAGAGACAGCCTTTGATGTCCTGATGAGATCAAGAACCAAGGCTTAAGGACCAGACTCCTAAATCATGTGTCATTTACTGCCTCAGATAAAAAATACTTTTCTGGATCAGTGTCTGTAGTTCAAAATGGCTAGGTTCCAAAATCAGTCTTAACTTTCCAAGGGTAACATTTGGAAGGCTTCCTGCAAGAACAGAGAGGAGCCAGTTTTGAGAAGGGGCAGCTTAATGATTTTCTACTCCCCCCAAATCATTAAACAGTGTTCCTCTCCCAGAGCCCAAGTTCATGCTGAGGGCAAAGGGAATTAAATGAAGAAGCTGAACCTGCAGCTAAGATTAGAGAGTCGCCAAGGGCCTAATTTTAGGTCCTCGCTGCCCCAGCTGACGTCCTGCCCTGCTGGCTCAGCCATGAGGACCACAAGTGTGGCCATAAGCCGGTGTCTGAGTGGGAAGAGCGACTCCCTGCCATCTGCAAAAGCAATTACCTTGCTGTTGGCTGTGTTTTGAGAGGGACTACCAATAATTTCTCCTTCAACAAGTGTTTCTTCAGGTGTTCACGAGTCAATAAGGGGAAATGTCAGAACTTGGCAGACGTTCCCACATGCTTGCCATTCTAATATTCACACTTTTCCACTTCAGATGCTGTCCAAAAGGAAACTAATCCTGAAATTCCTGGTTTTCATGGCAAATAACCCCTGATAAATGTCCTTTGGCTCTCAGCATACTGCTACAACCTAGGGAAAGCATTGTTCAGGATTTCTACCTTCATGAAAATAGAGATGGACTGAAACAATTCTTTCATTTTGTGGGGAATTTCTGTGCCACTCCTGCACTGGGATTTAGGCTGTCCTTCCACTCTCCACATATTTCCCTGTCCCAGGCTTTATGCTTTAATTGTCTTCTTTAGAGGGCAGACAATAAGAACTGGCATCTTCCAGATCAAAGGGGAAACAGAATATTTTTTAAAGTGACAACTCTGTTATCCTGCAACCAGAGTAAAACCAGAATAATAAAATGATATAAAGATAAGCCCCTAAATAATTTTATACTGAAATGCCACCAGAGAGCAAAATTCCTTGCATAATGATGGCAGAGAAACTCTCCGTACAAATCACTCACAGGAGCATGCTGGTTTTTGCACAATTCTCATGCCTGGGGCAGCCCTCCTCAGGGATGGAGTTTATGTCCTTGCAGGTTGGGAACTGTGATTACCCACTGGTGTGCTCTGTCTGCAAAGGAGGCTCTTAAGAAAGGCTCATTGCCAAGGGCAATGAAAAAGCAGGCTGGCACTGCCAGGCCAAGGGACTGCATCCCTTAGTAGAAAATGTGCCAGTGGTGAGGGTCACTGTCACGAAGGTGTGCAAACCAGCCCTGGCTGCTTCTGTCTCTTCCTCTATCTTTCTTTCCTGGTAGCTTTGCTTTTCCTATCTATTTGTCCCTTGTTCCCAACTGTCCATCTGTCTCTATGCATATTCCTATACCACCCTGCCACACACATACACAAGCACGCACACACATGCACGTGCACATGAGTGCATCAGCACACACACACAGAGGCACACACACACCCAGTCTTGCCCCCCCTTCCCCTGTCTCTTGGCACCGGCCCTTTCATCTTCTCCCTTGGGGATTCGAGATGTCGCTGCAGGAAATGCTTGTCCGCCGAGGCAGCAGCAGCAGAGCCCTGTGGCTTTGACAAACCTCATTTAATTGGGAGGAAGCCAGGAGAATTTGAAAGAACTGAAACATCCACGAAACTCCTTTTATCAGGCATAATTTAAACTCTGCATGGAAAAACCCCTATATGTATAAAGAAAAGTCAACTTCCCTCCTGCTGTGAGCACTCCTGGTCTCCCCCCCAGTGCAGGCAGTCTCCTGTAAGATTCCATCTTTTCATTTCTCTAAAAGTGTCAAAGTAGATTTGGGCTCTGTGACTGGTGAACAGGGAAGGAATACAGATCGTTCTCTCTCTCTCTCTCACACCCACACACACACATATACCCACAACCCTAGATATCCATGCACCCCTCTGTTGGTGGCTTTGCTTTTGGATCAGCCAGGAAAATCAAAACCCAGGTTTCTAAGAACACATCAGTTTGACAGTGATTGTTTCTTCCTAATCACCCTGCATCAGGCAAAAGCTGGTCCCTAGAAAACTTTGAAAATCTCCAGCAATTCTCAGCATGTGGAATAATAGATGCTAAAGGAGGGCCAATGGGGGGAAGTTTCTTTAAGTGAAGAGAAGGGAGTGTGTGTGTGTGTGTGTGTGTGTAAATCCAAGTGTGTACACTTGCATGAAGTAGTAGAGTTATAAGTCCCAAGCCTAAGAGGAGAAAGCTAAAAAGGAACAATCTAGAGGCTCGGACTGGGAAGAGGGGATTGGGATGGGAGTGACTGGGAAGGAATGGGGCCAAAGTGGGGACAGAGGTACCGGGAAGGGAGTGAGAAGTGTGGATGTGTCTGCAACGTCTTTTATTTCACCCACATGCTAACCCCTGCCTGTCCCCTCCTTCCAAATTCCACTTTAGATTCACCTCCAGTCTAATCCATCTCATTTCAATTATTTTTGTTTCTCCAAAGAATTGTCTTTAACACATACATAGTCTCTGCACATCTGTAGTTGATTACGCACAGATTTTCAGCTGTTTAGATATGATTTGTGCTGATATGTGTGTGAGGGTGCCCTGTTTCCTTTTCCTCACCCTATTTTCCTCCCACTTCATAAGATCCTGGAGGCCAAGGACAAGTCTCTTGTTTTCCTCAACTTTTTATAGCATTTAATATGTTCTTGACACTTAATGGCAACTTAATAAATACTAATGACTGACTCTTTCTGCAGGGTTAAGTAAGACATTAACCCCAGTTGTATGATTATGGTTATTTTTGGAGATCCTAAATGACTCACTTTAGTCATAAAATAGAATGCCTCAACAAGTCCCAAACTCATTGCTTTGTACTGCTGTAGGATGATGTCCCAGGCAGAAGGGAGTTGTCTGTAAACCCTGACAAGACAGGCCAGGCATTTCCACTCCTCATGGACAGTAGCTCCTCACCCTGTCCCCATCCTTAGCCCACCGCACCCTGTCACCAATCCCCCACACCCATTCCAGTGTCCTTATCCCAGTGCCAGCCCTCAGGCCCTCCCTTCTAAGCATTCTTTTCTCTGGCTTAGGACTTCTAAAACCAACCCCGGCTGCTTCTATCTTCTATTTTCCCCTCCTGGTTGCTTTGCTTTTCCTGTCTACTTGTCTCTTGTTCCTAAAACTATTTTTAGCTGAATGGTGGATTTTTTCAAAGAAACCCAACCTAAGGATAGTCACCATGACCACTGCCCACATCCTCCTGTAGCCCTTCCTGGTCATAGTCTGAGAAACATGAGGGGAGTTCCAACCACATGATCCCTCAGCAGATTTCAGATTTGGAAGATGACTTCAGGCCCAGGCAGCAAAGGCTGATTTCAGGGTAACTTGTGTTTGTAGGGGTGGACAGCCTGGGAAGATGCTTCCCTTTCCCCAGCACCCCAGCCCAGCACTGCCTTCCACAGCTTGGTATTACCAATCAAGAAAGGCCCAGCTCCCTCTCAGGACATATCCACTTCACCTATCATCTTATTCTGGCGGAAAGAGAGAAGGGTCTTGATAGAAACACTGGTGTGGCTTCCTGGCAGATGGTAGCTAAAGCAAACAACTCAGGGACAGCTTCCATCTCATCCAATTTCTGAGTGTAAGTGTGTACCTCTGAAGTGTTTGGACCACTACAAAGAGGTCCTTGTAACCTGCCCCATCAGTGCTCCAGAGTTTAAGAGAAGCTCATGCAAAACTCGGACAAGATTGGGTTCCATCCTGCTTCTCCCAGGCAAATGGATCTCTAACTTCACTCCTGGGTGCAAATGTTGTGATTCTCCAGTGCTGAGGCAAACGACTTAGGTTTTAGAAGTCCTAAGCCAGAGAAAAGAATGTTTAGAAGGGAGGGCCTGAGGCAAACTACTTAAGAACCAAGACTTACACACACTCACGCATATGCATGCACCCCCTCGCTCACCGTCAGGAAGCTGGTACAGCTGAGATGGGAGGGCACTAAAATAATCATGTACAAGTGCTTCCTGGGCGGAGACACGGTCTCTGGGAAAGCCTTTCAGCATCTGGGAGGCCAGGTCTTCAGCTTCAGGAACTCTGCCCAGCCTGGAAAAGTGGGAGAGAAAAATAGAGTTTCTCCAGCAGCCTCCCTTCTGAAAGAAAAAGGGGAGAAAAACAAAAAGTAAAGAAAAGGAGATGGCTAGACTTAGAAGAATGCTTTAGGTAGAATTTTCCTGGAATTGCTAAAGTTGATGGCAAATGGAAAAGTAACCCCATACTAAACTCTTACTGACTGTCCTGTTCCTAAGTTGAAGGATAAAAATCTCTGCGTTCTGTCGCTCAGCTCCCTTGCCTTCCACTGTGTGTGTGGGCATTATGTACACATAAAAGATACAGAAATATAATTATAGAAACAGAAATATATAATCTAGGATTCTTTTTGGAGGAACACTGCAGCCCTAACCAAGCAGAAAGGCCTGATTCAAAGTATGTTTGAACTCTGGGAGGCCAAGATGGGCAGATCAGGCCAGGAATTCAAGACCAGACTGGCCAACATGGTGAAACCCTGTCTCTATAAAAACATAAAAATTAGCTGGGTGTGGTGGCATGCGCCTGTAATCCCAGCTACTCAGGAGGCTGAGGCATGTGAATCTCCTGAGCCTGGGAGGCAGAGGCAGCAGTGAGCTAATATTGCACCACTGCATGCCAGCCTGGGTGACAGAGCAAGACTCTGTCTCAAACAAACAAAAAACAAAATATGTTCGAGGCTCTGAACTCCAAGTGTGGCAAGCATAGAATTCCGGAGGGGGAAAAGCACAGAATTCTAAAGAGGTGATTCCGGAGGGTGAAGCTTGGGTAGAAAATATACTTGTTTGTAGCATTTCTGAAGCTCAGCCAGGCTTATTAGGAAGCTCTCTTGGTTCCCCTGAGATGGAGCAGAGGAAGAGAGATAATTATGTACCTAAATCACAGTAAGGACAAATCTTCAAGTTGACCTTATGTTGAAATATATATCTGGAGATGAGCAAATTTATTTATTGAGCAACTACTATGTGCTAGTAAGTAATTGGCTTTGGAAGATATAGGATAAGACTTCTGGTAGCTTAGGTAGAGGAGTCAGCTGTTTATCAAATAATCATACAGATGTCTAAGTACAACTGTGAAGAAAAGAATCCTACTATGGTCTGACTATTTGTATCTCTCCAAAATTCAAATTTATGTCAAAACCTAATCACCAAAGTGATAATATTCGAAAGTGGGACCTTTGGGAGGTAATTAAGTTGTAAAGGAGGCTTGAGAGAGCCCGTTTGCCCTTTCTGCCTTGTGAAGACACAGTGAGAAGACGCTGTCTGTGAAGCAGAGAGCCTTCGCCCAACACCTAAGTTGCTGCCACCTTGATCTTGGTTTTCCCAAGCTCCATAGCCGTGGGAAATATGTTTCTATTGCTTGGCAATTACCCAGTTAAGGTATTTTGTTATAGCAGCCAAGGTATAATATTTTGGTTCCCCTGAGATGGAGCAGAGGCAGAGAGAGAATTAAGTACCTAAATCACAGTAAGGACAAATCCTCAAGTTTACCTATGTTAAGGATTAAGGTAGCCTCAATACCTGACCTAGAATGGGAGGGGGTTGTCAGGAAAGGATTTCTTGAGGAAGTGGCATTTGAGCTGAGAGTAGAGGAATGGAGGGCAGGCAAGAGGCAGGCCTTGCTGACAGGGATCTGTGGTACCCATACAGACCCTAGAGAGGGAGGGAGAAGCAGGAGTTTAAAGAAGGGAATCAAGGCCAGTTGGCTGGCTCAGAACAAAAGTGGAGAGAGAGGCCTGATGTGCAGCTGGGGAGGGTGGCTTGTGGGGCTTCTTGTTTCCTATTTACTTACAATGCTCGAAAGTCTTTGTTATTCTAATGCCAATCATTTACATTGACCCAGCTCCACAACCCACACATAGGTTTACATCTGGAAAGCCATAAGAGGGAAAACTGTGCATATCCCAGAGGGATGCATCTATCAGCTGATCATGGGACTGATGACTGACATTCAGAATTAAGTTGTATGGCCATGAAACACCACTGCAAAGCCTCAATTAAGCAGACATAGATAGACTTACTTAATGTCAGATATACCTACTGACTTAAAGCAAGAAAGATCAGATATTCTCTCCCTTCCAGGTGCCATGATGCAGGGATGCTAGAGGTCCTGGTCCAGAACTGTAATTTACCTAATTTTTGCATAAGATTTGCATTGAAAAATTTGGAGCTATTTGATTCCCAAGACATGAAACTGTTTCTGCACACAGATAACTATCTTCAAACTCAGGATTTCTTCATAGACAAGATAAGAAGAAATCTGCAAATTTCCAAATCCTTGCAAATTTCCAGGCTAGTTAGGAGAAAAAGAAATAGGGTAGAAGGCTACTCATTTGCTGTGGCCTGAAGAAGGACTGGCAAATATATATTCCTCATCCAGGGTATCCTGTCCAGGCAGAGGTTTTTAGGGCCTATGAAATGGAGGTTTGAAGAGGATGTTAGTACAAATCACTAGAGCCTAGGATCTGTCTGGAAGGAGACTTAGAGGAAATCTCACGAACAAATTTTAGCTGGTCCACCCATACTACTGGGTGGTGAGGTGAAGCCTGTGACAAAATTGGGCCCTGAATCCACTTTCTGCAGCCTTCACACTTTCTGGTTAAATATGAATTTCTGGGCATGGGGAGAGCGGGTAGGTGGTGGGGAGCAATGCATCTATCAACTTCCACCTCCACAGTCCCACCCCAATCAGCGATGTGTTCTCTCTCATGCTCCTCCCACATTAACCCATAACAGGTGGCTCCTGAACTGCCCTGTAGTGGGGGCTGAGGGACTGCTATCTGATTGGACAGGGAAGCCTAGGAAACCGGTTTTAAACTTGTGTTAGCATGGCAGGTATATTGTTTTTACTTAGACTGGGTCGAGTGTCTAGGGAAACCAAGAAAGGCTAATGGAGCTTTTAGGGTATTAAAGGCACCCCTTTTCTTATAAGAACAGGTTATTTGGCCAGGTGTCATAGCTCATGTCTGTAATCCCAACACTTTGGGAGGCCGAGATGGGAGGATTGCTTAAGCCCGGGAGTTTGAGACCAGCCTGGGCAACATTGTGAAAACCCATCTCTACCAAGAAATACAAAAATTAGCTGGGTATGTAGCATGCGCCTGTAGTCCCAGCTACTCAGGGGGCTGAGGTGGGAGAGTCACCTAAGCCCAGGAGGTCGAGGTTGCAGTGAGCCATGATCATGCTACTGCACTCTAGCCTGGTGACAGAGCCAGCCCCTGCCTTAAAAAAATAAAATAAGAACATATTTTTTTAACCAGGTGAATGAATAAAAGAAAAGTAGGTACTAATCAGTGATATAAGAACCTCTTTTTTAGGACTTTCTATCTCAACCAACAGAGCCTACCCTTATCCTTGCCACAGGGTTGTTTCAGGGCTTCTGGTAGTTTCCAGACTTGTTCCAGTCTCAGTCTCTGAACTATGACTGCTGCACATCGCTTCTCCTTTGCCGGCAGAGGTGGTAACAGGGCAAAGTGGGCAGACGAAGCCTCTTCCTCCCAAAAGCCAAGTGTGTGTTGTCTCCCCTGTACAAGCCAACGCCACCCACATGAATGCAAGCCTTCACTGGCAGCAGCGGTAGCCAGACCATTAGGATCCAGGCCTTTGCCAAGCGCCCCAGTGATCACCATCTTGCTAGTGCACATTACGCTCTTTCTGCGGGGCTGAGAAAAAGAGTCCCGGTAAACAAATGTTGCTTTTTGGGCACAAATGTTGATTTACTGACCTCTTCTGTGTTTGTATCGTTATGCTTTTTCCTATCATCTACGGCCCAATTGTCTTTACCGTCTAAGTCCTACACATCGCCACCACTAACTCCCACTGGAACAATTATCCACTGGTTACAACCGCTACTTTGAAAACAAACATTGGCATAAAAAATGAACATCACAAATGTTAATTTGCCTACCAGCCCCTTTCCGTGTAAGCTAAACGTAAATTCAAGCTGTTAAATTTGTGACGTTAACTACTGAACATGCCAGGAGTATCTTGCAGAGGTACAAAAACCCACCCACTCAATTAATAAGAATCTGCTATTAAAGATAAAGAATCCTGTGATAAACCACTCCTTCTAGTAACATTTCAAGAGGTGAGAAGTGTTCCAATGCCAAAATAATTCATAGTTATTGTAGAGCACTTAGAAAACGCAGAGAAGGAAAATTATGACTATCCCACCACTCTGAGATAATCCCCTTATACTCAGAGATAATCACCATTGCTTGAGGTCTTTGTTTTCTTCAGTCCTTTATTTTTAGACAGCTATAGTTTTTGTTTTACAAAAAAAAAAAAAGGGATCATACTATACATACTCTTATAACCTACTTTTTCCATTTAATTCCCTTGATCATCTTCCCATAACTTTGAACCACTTTCTAGGACATAATTTTACTGGCTCTTAGCGTTCCATTATGTAGGCATACCATAAATTTACATAGCTAGACTCCTGTCTGAGTTGTTTCTTTTACTGTTGGGATGGAGATAGTACTGTTAAAATCATGCTGTAACAAATACTCTCAAAGAGAAATCTTTGTGTGTTTGTGTAATATTTCCTTAGGACAAATTCTTAGAGTTGATAATTCCTCAGTCGGAAGGATATATACCACATGTTAAACTATTTGATTCATACTATCCACTAGAAAAGCTATAGATTCACACTATCAGCTAGAAAAGCTATAGATTCGCACTATCAGCTAGAAAAGCTGCACCAATTCCCATTTCCACCAGTAGCGTAGGAGAGTGCTCATCCCTGTGGGCAAGAACAATAAATTCATTCCAGCCCACCTGAATTCCCACAGGCCCCATTGCTCATAAAAGTCATAAAAAGAATTAAAATTTTATATCAATCCTAAAAGATGTGCTGGAGGCCAGGACAGCTACGTGTAATTTTAAAAGTCCAGAAAAGAAACACAAACAATAAGAAAAAAATGAAAATAGAGCTTTGTGACTGTGTAAATCACCATCTACTAACCTATCACTCCACACTTCTAAAATCTGGTTGTTCTCAGGGGTCTGGTACAGCAGTTTTGATTTCCTAGCACAGCCTGGCTCTGAATATAAAAGTCTCCTACTCACAGCACTGCCATTTACTTCCGAGGTGCAGGACAGGCTGGCCACCGTGAGCTCAACTGGGTTCTTTGTTTTTCCCCCTAGACCTACAGGAAGAGGAACAGGGCAGGGATAGAGTTGGTACTTTCTAATGTTCTCAGTTTGGGATGTAGTAGATGCCCACAGTAAGAAATACATCCAATACTAGGAAGAAACATTGGAGAAGCTGTCCTACAATTTGCTAATCAATCTAAAAAGTGAGTGCCTACCGACTAGTCCTATACTAACGAGATCACCACCAAACCTCAAGCCAGCCCCTGGGATTCGTCTACAGGCCTGTGCACGGTTCCACTGCACCTCTGTAGGGATTGTGTAGAAAAGCCAGTGACACCTCAGCTACTCGTTACTCACCACAGCTGCAACCTGATTCAACAGACAAAACATCCATAGAGGCCTGGGTAACAGATGAATCCTGGCTCTAACTTAGCTGGACTAATTTGGTCAAGTTACTTAACTTCTCTCAGCCTCAGTTTCCTCCTCTTTGACCCGGGAATGACATTTGTAAGGATTAGATGTAATAATATATGTAGCACCCTGCTAGGTACGTGGTATATATCGCATCTAATGTTAACCCTTTCACAGACCCCTTCCCAGAGCCAAGAATTTTCCCATGTGATAATCTAGGCTAACGCTGGCCAATGGAATTTTCCATGATGATGGAGATACTCTATTTTTGCTCTGTCCAATATCATAGTCACTACTCGAATGTGGCTACTGAGTCCTTGGAATGCAGCTAGTGCAGTAAAACTGAATTTTAAATGTAATTTAAGTAAATTAAAAGTTAAATAGCCACATGTGGCTAGTGGCTACATACCTGTAGACATTACTTCCTTTTTTTTTTGAGACAGAGTCTCACTCTGTCTCCCAGGCTGGAGTGCAGTGGCCTGATCTTGGCTCACTGCAACCTCTGCCTCCTGGGTTCAAGCGATTCTCCTGCCTCAGCCTCCTGAGTAGCTGGGACCACAAGCATGGGCCACCGCCCCTGGCTAATTTTTGTATTTTTAGTAGTGACAGGGTTTCACCATGTTGGCCAATCTGGTCTTGAACTGCTGACCTCAGGTGATCTGCCAGCCTCATCCTCCCAAAGTACTGGGATTACCGGGGTAAACCATGAGGCCTGGTCTAGATATTACCTCCTGTGTTAAGGATATGAGCAGAGAAGCCAGAAGTCTGCGAAAAAGTGAATACATATTGCTGGGGGCCAAGGGAAGGGGCAGAGGCCAGGGGTGCTGGATGGTCAGAAAAGCCAGAGACATTTAGAGAATTCAAGTCTTGCTCAGCCTTAGAAAGAAAGGCTGGTGGGGTGATAGCAGGAGGCTCGTGGCACTGTCTTCTGCCATGGGACAGTCACAGGAGCAGCTGCAGGAGCAGCATGGAGTATTAATGTGGTTCTCAGGTTGGGAGTTGACATTTACTTTGGAAGCTGATAGTGACATCAAAGAAAGCCACAGGGCAGTGTTAAAATCCACAGGTCTCTAGGCAGAGGGGAGGGAGCCTAACTACACTGACAAAAGAACATGTGCACATCTTGAATGAAGTGATAAACGGCAGTTCCCTAGAACCTGTCTCCAAAATAAGGAGGAGTTTCAGAGTCGCTTATTTTCAAACACCTGTCCCCCAATGAAAGATCCTCTGGTGGTCCATAGCTCTATGTTCCCAACCTATTTTGCTCTTTGTTCCCTGATATTTACTCTATGTGGAGGCATTTTAAGGGATATGAACACTAAGAACGAAGAATTCAAACAACTTTTGGTGAAGTTAAATTCTATCATATTTTCAGGGAAAAACAATGTTCAAATGTTCGGTCAGGATCTTGGCCGGTGAAACTCTTCCACTTCTCTCCACCTGCAAGAGTGTGTTTTTCTTTGACATTTGAGCTCGTTTCCCCTGTCTCTGATGTTTTCCTCACTGCCCTTTTTGCCTCCTCACTGAAGCAAAAAGAACAGAGCCTCGGCTAATTACTCTCAGATCAAATAATACTGGTTATTGTAATTGGTCATTGTCCGAAAACACTGAGTTCTTCTTAGCCCGGAGGTTGCCTGGCACAGCTTAGTTAGCTAACTATTCCCGGAATGTCTCTATTATCTGTTTTACTTTGCAAAAGAAACTAGGGATTTGTTGAAAGCTGGTAATAAAAGTCTGCCCTGGTCTGAGCCGAGACTGCGTAGAGAGGGCCTGGGAAAGCATGACCCCCATGAATCAAGTTGCCCCCCCTCCAATAGCCACTCAATGATGTTATTTGGTTTCTCTGTGCCAGAGAATAATAAACCCACTAGGTTTTCTTGCAGGCCAACACTCCCTCGTTCTCAGGGCCTGGGGCATGGCTGAGGGACACAAAACAATTTTAATGACCAAACTCGCTGAAAGTAAAATGGTTCATAGAGAAAAACTAACAGACTGGCAGGGGTCTGACTCTCCTAGAGGCATCTTCCTACAGCTTAGAGCCCCCATATGGAAGTGCTTGGGGGCTGCCATTCAGCGGACTGAGATCCAGGAAACATCTTTCCAATCCTGCTTAAAGATGCCTTCCGGAGGTAGTACTCACCTGTTCCAGACAACGTGAAGGCTTGGAGGCTTAGGCAGTGGGAACCATTCTGGAAAGCATACAGAGGGCATTAAAAAATAAAATTAACCCGAAAACCCTGTTGCCAAATATATTGTTAAAATTCTAAATGCTCTTCTTGGCTTGGTGGAAAAAAAGGATTCAGGTATCAGGTAGGCTACCATGATTTTTAAAGCCTCATCTCCTGCTGAATTTTTATGATTTGGCGAAAGGTCACTATTATGGGTTGAATTATGTGCTCCCAAAATTGACAGGTTGAAGTCCTAACCCCAACTACCTTAGAATATGAGCTTATATGAAAATAGGGTCATTGCAGATGTAATTAGTTAAGATGAAATCATTAGGGTGGGCTCTAATGTGATTTGACTCACGTCCTCCTAAAAAAGCAAAATGTGGGCCCAGAAATAGACATACACCAGCAAAGGTGAGGTGAGGGGGTTCTCCCTTATACCCCTCCCAAGGAAGCAACCCTGCCCACACCTCAGTTTCAGACTTCCCCATCTCCAGAACTGTCAGAGAATACATTTCTGTTGCTTAAGCCACCCAGTTTGTGACTTTGTTCCAACAACTCTAGCAAACTCATACAGTCAACATATGTAGTAAAGTCAACAAACATTTGTTTAAAATATACTGTGTGCACAGCATGACCAAGTGCTGGGAAGAATACAAAACAGATCAAAAGAAACCCCACTACCTCTGCAGAGGTTACAATTCATTTGGGAGAACAAGAATATGCACATGAAATGTGATGAATAATGAAGCAGTCTTATAGGCTCACAAGTGGTTAAAAAAAAGTCGGGGGAGCCAGGTGTGGTGGCTCATTCCTGTAATTCCAGCACTTTGGGAGGCCCAGGCTGGAGAATCAGTTGAGACCAGGAATTCGAGACCAACCTGGACAACACAGTGAGATCCTATCTCTACAACAACTACCGAGCCTGATGGTACATGCTCATGGTTGCAGCTACTTGAGAGGGTGAGGTGGGAGGATCACCTGAGCCTGGGAGGGTGAGGCTGCAGTGAGCTGTTATTGTGCTATTGCACAATCTGGGAGACAGAGTAAGACCCTGCTCAAATAAATAAATAAAGCAAGCTAATTTTATATGTCACTTGTGGTAAAAATGGAAGTGAATCCTGGCTTGAATATTCCAAAATAGGTGATGATAAAAATTGGAGCACTCTATAACATTTATATTTGGGCATATGTGTTTCTATAATTCTTAGTATTGATACTATTTAACCCAAACCAAAACCATCCTAAAAGGGAATGATTTCTCATTAACCCACAAAATACTAATTGAATGCTGCTTCTATGTAAGGGCTGTAAGAGGAGCTTGGGGGGAGACAAGCTGATGGATGCTCTTTATCAAATTTCCTCTATTGTCCACTCCAAATTGAGAAAAGGATATTTCAACTCTCATTCAAAATGATATTTCTGCCTTATATTTTTCTTAGACCTGAAATGTAATTATTTTGCTTGCTACTTTGTTTAGAGACAGGATCTCACCCAGGCTGGTGAATGCACTGGCATGATCATGGCTCACTGTAGCCTAGAACTCCTGGCCTAAAGTGATCATTCCACCTCAGCCTCCAGCGTAGCTGGGATTACAGGCATGCACCACCACATCTGGCTTTTTAAAAAAAATTTTATTCAGAGATGGGAGTCTCACTTTTTTTTGTCCAGGCTGGTCTCAAACTCCTGGCCTCAAGTGATCCTCCCACCTCAGCTTCCCAAAGTGCTTGGATTACAGGCATGGCCCAATATTCCCGGCTGTTATTTTGGTTTTAAAAATCTCTTCCTCCAGTTCCTATGTAAATGGAATAAACCAAGGCTGTTCCTCACAACAAAGAATTTAATCATGGTTGGGCCAAAATTAACTTGATAATGCTCATGTGTTCATGTTGATATGCACATAGAAAGACCTGGAAGACTACCCACTAGATAGTGGTGGTGGTTACGGGAGCTTATCCTTTCCTTCTTTGCCCATTTTCTCAAACATTTTTGAAATAAAGCATATACAGTATTATTTTGTAATTTCAAAAGGAAATTCAGTGAAAAATTGAATTTATAGTGCTAAGAGTTGTAGAGTGAAAGGAGTGACCAAAGAGAGTGACTTCAGGTGAGTTTTCAAGGTCAGGTGCAATCAAATGTGAACCTCTCAGCTGGCATTCTATAGTACCAGGTGGGCACTAAGGGAAACACTTGTCTGTACAGGCTATTTACTCTCTGTCCAGTATGATTTTGCCTAAGTTCAAGATAACCCGTCAAGATAAGAATATCTGGCACTTGTTTAGTATGTTTCTCTTCTAACCACTTTCTGCTGCCTGTTTACAGCTCTTCCCTGGCCAAACAAAATCAAAGTATTTCCTCATTCGGTCATCTCCCAATTTCAGTCAACATAATGAAATCCATTTCCATCCTTTCCCATTTTCTATTTTTCCCTTCTGAGAGGTCTATGTGCTGTGTTTTTGGCCTTCAATATTTTAAGACTTTAACTTTAGCGGTGTTCTTGTGGCGTGTGGGTTGCTGACTTAGGGTTGGAACACCGACTCTGCTGCTTCAGTTTTGCTGAGATCTCATGCAAGGTACTTTGACTGTGCAATGGCAACCCTCAGTTTTCTTAACGCAAATTGAAGGTGGTATTCACTTCGCAAGGATCCTGAAGCGAATCAATGCAATAATAAGTCCAAAAATGCCTGCTCTGGACCATTAAGCAAAATAAATCCTATCTGCTTTTCCTTCCTCTTTCCCTTCCTTTGAAAAGTGACGGGCAGTATAAACCATGCGTGGCCAGGCACTTGGACCCAGGACCCGAGTGAACCCACGCTATGCCTTTTACTGGCTGTGTGACCTGAAGATATTGCTTAACCTCACTGGGCTTCCGTTTTCCTACCTGCAGAAGGGGGATAGTAACAGTTCCTGCTGCACAGGGTTGTGAAACGAGAATGGTAAATACAATATAAATATGTCTTCACTCTTCGTCTCTTTTCTTCCTGCTTCCCGCCCTTTCTGACATAGCTTCCCTCTCTCTCCTCCTCAGGTATTTCTGCCTTCTTGTTAGTTCTCCTTGGAACCTTCTCCAAATGGCTTCCTCTACTAAAATTCTAACCTGCTCCGAGCCCCAGTTCTTCTAAGTCTGACTGGACTTCTTTTGAGTCCTCAGTGTGGGTGAGAGGTGTGTTTCTTAGCTTGGTAGTATGGTAACATGAACACAAGCCCAAGCTCAAATCTCCTGTTCATCATTTAGGAGCTTTGAGACTTTAGGAAAATTGCTTAGCCTCTCTGGTGAAATAATTGAGAAGTTTCCAAATCTGTAAAACAGGAATCATTTTCCAATTGCCGGGGGAATTACATAAGATGAAGCATGTGGTCTGTAGTAGGGGCTCAGTACGTGTTCATTTCATTCCTCTTCTTCTTTTGGTTTGGGTCTTTCATTTTGGACAGGTAAGATGATGGTTCTCTTAGGGAGGTGCATACTGGCATTGCCTGGAAGCCTTTACAAGAAAGCAAGCCCTGAGGTTTGATTTGACTAGTCTGGGAAGGGTCCAGACATTGGTTACTTCTTGTACTGTTATTACAGTTTTTTTTTGTTGTTGTGTGAAAGAGGCTCTCATTCTGTTGCCCAAGCTGGAGTGCAATGGCATGAGCAGGATTATGGTTCACTGCATACTTGACCTCCCTGGCTCAAGCCATTTTCCTGCCTCGGCCTCCTGAGTACCTGGGATCATAGGTGCACACCATCACTTCTGGCTAATTTTTAAATTTTTTTATAGAGACAGGGTCTCTTTACGTTGTTCAGGATGGTCTCAAACTCTGGTAGCCAGCAATCCTCCAGCCATAGCCTCCCAAAGTGTTATGATTACAGGCATGAGCCACCACGCCTGGCCTGTTACTGTCTTCAATGGTCTCCAGAATTTTCTGGTGAGGAACTAAGACAGAGAACCTCTAGTCTAGCAAAGAGAGCAGGGTCTATCACTCACCGGTAACTCAACACACACTTCTCTGAGGCTCATTTCCTCATCTGTAACAACTCAAATGAGGTTGTTGTAAGAATTTAATTAATCAGTGTATATAAACATTGCAAAACATAGTGTCTGACACATACTTAATATATTTGTTCAGGGATGTGAGAGAGGAAGCATGACAAGGGAAAATTCAGCTCTCATAAATTCTGCCAGCAAAGGATGACCTGTAATAGTGTCCCCAGGACTCCAGGAGAAACAGCATTTTGTACTTGAGTGGATGGATTGTGCTGACTCCCTCCCACCTCTATTGTGTAGCTACATTAGCTGAGACAGGAATGGATGTGTCTGGGGTCAGTCAGGGAGCTGCTATGAAGCAGAAGCAAAGCCCCTTGCCTTTTTGTGGCCTGCCCTCTCTCTCAGGCAGATAACCTGAGGCTGAATGACCCTGCCTCTCTCCCATTGATTTTTCCCAGTAGGTAAGCTGCAAGCGACCAGTGAGAGAATGATACACAAACAGATAGGCATTTCACACAGCACCATTTCAAGAGGAGTCTGGCTTCTCTGGCTTTAGTTGCCTCTAAAAATAATAGGTCTGGAGGTAGCTTGTTTCCCTTCTCCTTCCAAAGACGAGAGTAAATCATTAGACTCGATTTTTCTCCTTCTTGTCCCTCTGCAGTTCTCTCTAAAAAGAGTTCTCATTTGAGTTTAATTGGAATTCGAGGCAGGAAAAGCAAAGGAAGTTGTAAAAGGAGAATAAAAAAGCAGAGCATTTAAATTTCCAAACTAAGTGGAATGAAATTAAAATGAGGGCAGAACTGTTGCTACCGTAGTAAAAATAGTCCATTTTTCATAAATATTTAATAAAGCCCATTTCACAACGGAATTCAAGTCTGGTAACCTTAGTCAACAGAGATTTGTTGATTGATTGGTAAAACATCTCTCCGCCATTTTGAGTCTCGGCTCAAGGTAAAACATTTTCTAGTTACCATAGTCTTCCCACAGTCGCCCTAAGGTTATCTTATAGTGCTGTCTACTGAACTACACCTCTGGAGTTTCCTGAATACAATG